CAAAGGGGCACAGAAGATGAGAGAAAGGCATCAGGCATGTGCGGAGCAACAGTAAGACCAACTGGCCTGACTCTGGGCTCCCCTCCCCCACCCCCTAGGTCACTTCCTACTTAGAAAAGCCATCTTCCTGACCCCTTCATGCAAAGAGATGCAAACATGGTCTCTGTGCCATTTCGGGCAGGAAGGTTATTCTTGGGCCCCAGACACCAGGCCTGCGTTTTAATCAGTCAGGTCACACGCACAGCATCAGAGTGTGAAGGAGACACGGAGAGGAAGAGCAGTACGGAGAGTTTGAAAGGGTCGGCCAGGGAAGGCTTCCGAGGATCTTGAGTTGGGGTGGGAACAGGAGAGAGGAAGCAGGAGGGCAAGGAAGGGGCCTCCGGCTGCACCCATGGCTTTCCTGAGGGCCCGAGGCAGGTGGCCTGGGAAAAAGGGCACGGGAGTCTACACCAGGCTGTACGGGCAGACGAGCTGGGCTGATGGCACTAGGCCTACATCAGGACCACTGCCTGCTGCCCCCTCCCCAGTCCTCCATCTAGGTAATTCCCTCCCCTACAGTTTGGGGATTCTGGACAGTAAGAGGCCGTCTGGGGGATCCCTGTTAGGCCCTGCTTCCCCAGTGGGGTTCTCCTTTGACCTTGGTAAAATCAAATCCCTGGTCTCCCCCTGGGTTCAGTGTCCTAGGCTGCCCTGAGCAGGCTGTCCTTCCGGCCGGCCACCAGGAAGAGTGGAGTGGAACTGATTGGCTACTGGGGAAGGCCTGGTGGCTGCCTGGGTCAGGCTAGCTCACCACAGCCAAGGCCAAGGAGTGGAGAGGCCAGTGACTTTTAAAAGGACAAGCTGCCTGATGCGGGGAGCGGGTTTGTGTTGTGGGGAGGGGCAAGAGATTCCTGGGTGTCAGGGGCTGAGACCAGGGAAGGCCATGGAGAGGCACAGCCTGCCCTGGGATCCTCCAGCCCACCTTCAGGAATCATTCCTCCCAGGGCCTCTGGAAATGTGCCTTACCCCCATCAGAATGGGCGCTCTGCCCCTGACACTCTGCTTTTCAAATGCAGATGGTCCTGGGGGTGGGGTGGGGGGACTAGCACCAGGCCTCGCTCTAACACCCCTGTGTAAGTTAGTGTCAGGTGTTGGGTGGTGTTTTGTTTGTAAGGTTTTTCCTGGGCTTGAACCATGCATCTCTTTTCTTTCCCTTCCTGCTCTGTGGGGTACCCCAGGGCTTCCGCTCTCAGCCCTGACTTACAGAGGGCCTTGGGCAAGGGCCTCCTCCCTGGCATTCTCGCTCCCTGGCGCTCTCCGCCCGACCTGCCCTCCTGTGCTGGGCTGTGGGCAGGGAAGGGCCTGCTTGGGAAGGCCAGAGCTGCCCTGGAGCTGAAGGTCCTGTTTCCTTTCTCTTCTGGGTTCCACCTTCCATTACTATTTTTAGACTTTTTTTGCCAGGGACAGTAGGATGGAGACGTGGTGGTCTCCAGGCTAGCTTCCTGTCCTCAGGGAGCTGATGAGGGAGGGAGGGAGCTGGAGGGTGTGTGTGGGGGGCTGGTGGGGGTAATGGTTGTGTGCACTGTGCAGGTTTGTGTGGCCATGGCTTTGGGTCCCTATCAGGGCTTTTTTTGATTTGAGGAGTTAGTGCTAATTGAAGATATTCTCTGTTATCAGACCACATGTCTAGATAGCTGGCTTAGGAACTGGTGGCAGAGGGTCAGTGGGCAGAGCTTCCTTGCCCAGGGGGAGGGAAA